AAACCGGAGAACGAACGGACCAACAGGAGAGAGGTCATGCAGAGGGAAAAGTAGACGTTTTTGATCGCATCGTTCGTTCTATCGTCCAACCTTTCGAATACGATACCGTGCCAGTGTAGAGAGCGATTCTCAATACGAGTCGCAGCCTTTTCTTTGATGCCTCTTTTCATAGAGACAGGTTGACCCGGATGTAACGCGTGTTATCAGTGACCAGTCAGTCGCACGACGTTCGCGCATCGACGAGACTCGTTTCGCATGCGCGCGCACGCGAGCGTGTCTTCCGTTTCACGGATTCGTCCGTGGCCTCGTGTTCGTTTGTCCGTTACGTGTACAAAGCCTCTGTATCACATATTCCATTCCTCTTTCTTTCGCTTTCCGCGAGAGGAATCCTACGCGACACGTACGTCTGTCTCGCGTCAACGTATATGTACGCGCGTCTTTCCTCTTCGTGCAACTCCGTTTCGTTCCAACATTCCGAACGAGTACGTACGTGTGTTTTTGGTATGGTCGGAGTCCGTGGTGGTGGTGGTGGTGAATAGTGGTGGTGGTAGTAGTAGCGATGGCAGATATATCGCGGGGAAGAAAATGCTACGAAGAAATATCGGCGCGAGAGGACTCGGTTAACGGGCTCGAGGAATCGAGTATGAATGGTAGAGCGACGTCTACGAGAAAACGCACGCCGAAAACGCACGCGAAAGGAACCTAGGAGATTACGAAATCGTCGTTTCTTACTCTTTCTCCGCGAGGCGCCGCGTCCTCACGCGCCGCGCATGCACTGCTATGCCGACGACCGTTGGAAAATCACTTCACCTTCTTGCCCTTCCTTTCCGTCGTTCTCGCGCAACTCGCCGAATACCTATAACCCCGAGGCACACTCGGTTTATCGCTTCTCCACGGTGCAGACGATTCGATATCTTTCAACAACGTTCCGTCGCGGTACCGATTCTCTTTTCGAGTATTTTCACCTATTTTCGCGACCGCGTGTATCTATGTATTTTTAACGAACGTTGCGATCCGCCGGTAAAACCGGAGAACGAACGGACCAACAGGAGAGAGGTCATGCAGAGGGAAAAGTAGACGTTTTTGATCGCATCGTTCGTTCTATCGTCCAACCTTTCGAATACGATACCGTGCCAGTGTAGAGAGCGATTCTCAATACGAGTCGCAGCCTTTTCTTTGATGCCTCTTTTCATAGAGACAGGTTGACCCGGATGTAACGCGTGTTATCAGTGACCAGTCAGTCGCACGACGTTCGCGCATCGACGAGACTCGTTTCGCATGCGCGCGCACGCGAGCGTGTCTTCCGTTTCACGGATTCGTCCGTGGCCTCGTGTTCGTTTGTCCGTTACGTGTACAAAGCCTCTGTATCACATATTCCATTCCTCTTTCTTTCGCTTTCCGCGAGAGGAATCCTACGCGACACGTACGTCTGTCTCGCGTCAACGTATATGTACGCGCGTCTTTCCTCTTCGTGCAACTCCGTTTCGTTCCAACATTCCGAACGAGTACGTACGTGTGTTTTTGGTATTACAACCGTGTATCGTGACAAAAAAAAAGGCAACAACGAATTAAAGGAAAAGAGGGAAGAAAAGAGGGACAGAGAGAGAAGAAGAGAGAAAGAGAGAGATAGAGATAGAGACAGAGAGAAGAACGGATAGAGTGCGCGCGAGTCAGGAAAAGGTTAAAGGTCCTCCGTGCGCACAAACTCGGTGAAAATCACCCCGCTCTGCGCGATACTGCGGTCTCCGTTCGACTGGCGTGTCTCAACTATTCGAGATATTCCGAGTTTAGGCGCGTGCGCGTCGTGCTCGCCTCCAACACCCAACCCTCTAACACACTACCCCCGTTTCTCGTCGCCTCCTTTCCTTTTCCTTTCGCTTCCTTCCTCTTCGTACTATTTTTCGTTTCTTCCCCCTTTGCTCTGCTTTTTTTTTTTTCACCTTTTCATCGTAAAATATCGTTCTGTATCGCGGTCGATCGTTTCGACCATTTTGCGCTAATCAACCGTAACGATAGCGTGTACGAAATAGAATGTTTTTACTTTTCTTTTACTCTTATTATCGCGTATACGAGAAATACAACGAAGAACCTCGAAAATCTTAGAAACCCTTCGGGAGATTTTAAGACGAGCAAATTCACAGAATTTTAACGCCACCGAGAAAATTATGTGGAGATCGCGCGATTAAATTCTCTCAGAGTCCCTGACCTATATACATATATAACATTTGTAATCAACGATGTCTTCTTCTCTCCTTCCTTTGCATCATATTCTTTAAGAATTTTATATTTTCGCTACTGATAAAATTACTATCTTTGCCCTTCCTATCGTTACGATTACGAAAATTAAACCGATCTGGAATTTAAAGGGAAATCGGTTGGTGCGCCGCATTAAGAGCAGCGATCTTCGATTGCCTCTGCAGAATACGTACTGCGCGTGCTCGGACGGGCTTCCAAAACCTCAAAATACTTTCTGCCAAGAAAATTTCACGAAATCCCCTTCCTTGACCATATTTTCTGAATCCATCGCGAACGCATCCGACCATAAATTGTACGCGACGCTGCGTTATCCACGAATTGATTCCGCAGTAATTGAACGTGTCTCGCCAAAAAGATATTTTATATTCTCCAAGAACGTACACCCTCGAACGCGTTTAAATACGATACAACGCTTTCTACTGATAAAAACCTTAACTAAAGCCATTGAAGTTATTATAAAATAATCGTATCTACTGCTTTTTTTTTTTTTCATTCGGAAAACAAAGTTAAAAAAACGATCGCACCAAAGTTAACGTGAACAAAAATTATGATACACTATCGCTCATTCCAGTTCAAACAGGTTTCCATCGAAACGACTGATTCTGACGTCACGCGCGCCTGTTAACGCACACGTTGCGAATTGTTTTACCACTAATTTTCACGCGTTATTCAGTCATGGCAGAATTAATTTTATTGCGGGCAATTAATGCAATTAATTTTACTTTATTACCAACTAACAACCTCGTGACGTCAAACGCTGCTACCACGCGTTTCCCCTCCAAATTTTTACTTCGCGTAGAAACATCCGTTTTCGCGAAACATAATTGGCTATTTTTTGTTTGGTTATATAAAAAGAAGAAAGAATTTGTCGGCTCTCGTTTCGAATCGGTTCAACCTTCTGTGACGTAAAAATGTTTAATGTCGTACGATTCTGCGAAAGGTTAGAAGAGCGCCAGAAATCAGCGGTTACGCGAAATTTTCGCCTCGTACACGCAGCGCCATCTTGCGAGTCATCGTTCAATTTGTTAAACGTTGCGCGCCGATCGAACAAAACAGAACATTTACTTTTCAATCTTTTTCATTTAGATTCCAAATACATTTAGGTCGGATCAATTCTTAACCGAATATTATCGCGAAAATAATAAGTTTCAATAAAGTAAACATTGGTAATCGTTTCTTACTAACTGTTGAACACGATAAATAATTCGTAAATCGTTCGCTTCCGTATGTATTTTCCACGCGAGCACCTTACTGTCAAAATGATCAATGTCGATACGAGAAAATTGCTTTAGTTTCTACAGACCGAACGTCAATGATACTTTTTACGTATTCGCGATAGGATTCGATAGTCAGATTTCGATGAAACGTAGCACCTGCGGGAAAATCGCTTCGGCGAAGCCTCGTAACTGTCGGATCAAAGACTGGGTGCGTGATGAACGAGTGTTTAAAAATATCCGAGTGTGCGGAGAATAAAAGTACAAGGAACGAAATGCCCCACAGGCCTATCTGACCCACTGTAGGAAACGAAACCCTACCAACGAAAGCACGCTACACGATTCCTCGATCATCGACAGTACGAATAGTCATACGTATTCCTCATCTGATTATATCGATTTCTCTTTTGTCGTAAAAATAATATTTTATTTCGCGATACAACCTTCTTCTATATGCACAGTTTCGTATACAAACACAACTTTCGATTGATTCGTTTCAAATTAATTACTTATAGAATATTGAAACAATTATGTAATGTAAATGTTAGAATAGAAGAATTGTGTTTGAAAATAATCTACTAACGGGAACACTGTTATGTGCGTTTGTTTATGTAATTCCAACTCTTTTTATTTCGTTGGTAAGTCACTTTTTAAACTTTATTTTCCGTTCGAAAGACGGAAAATCACATTTTCGTTTTAGGAAAAAACTCGTCAATTAATTTCTATCGAATTTAGTTACAACCGAGTTTATACGTTCAAACTTTTTCAACCGCTACAAAATGAGCGCGGGATAAAATGGCGAACAAGCTATATTTTGAATGACTGCTATTAAGGTTAAAACAAACGTCAACGTATAACTGAATATTATTTACACGCGAATATATATTAAAAATACAACCTTTTTATTCTCTTTAAACTAATAATATCGAATATCCGAAGAATTTACATTCACATTACATAAAAGTGTCAACTATGGATATAGCGTCACTTACCGATACCATTCCGTGAATATTTCCATCGCCACAGCATGTACTTTGCTCGTTCTTCGTTTTGCACCACAATATTACTACATGAAAGTAAAACAAATATTATCACTGTAAACCGATTTATTTAATAAAAACTACACAAATTTATCTGTCGCGACGAGAAACGGACACTTCTCAACCGTACACCATGACAGCCGCGCGGAGACTGAAGCGTAGGTGAGAGAGGATGTTGCGCGGTTTATTCAAAAATTTCTATTGCGCAGCGCTGCAACGGTACCATGCTGCTACGTACCACGGAACAATCAATTTTTTAATTATATCAAATTTTTTTTTTAATCCGATTAAAATTCTCTAAAATTACATACAAATGAATTTATTATTTGTGTTGTTCCAACTTTGATACACAATTATGAAAGTAACTAATCGTATCAAAAAGGAGAATTGTGGGTGCTTTCGCGTTATTTTACATGCCGGAAATTATTATTAATATTAATTTTTGATCGACAGAGAATAGTTTGTAAATAAAATGTAATTAAATAATATATAATGTTGACAAAATAACTCTTGGTTTTATTAATATGTAGAAACATCGAAGTGGCAACAAGTTATAGGTTCAAAATGAACATGCAATAACAGAAGTGTTTTATTTTTAAAAATTAATTTCGCCTTTAAAGTACCATTTGTTCTTTGGAAGTTAAACTGGTTAACAAAATCCTTTCTGTTGTAACTGGACCATCTGTAAAGTAAAAAGTGGACGATAAATGAAAAATTCTACTGTTATATCTTCACGTATTTTTTTTTTTTTCTTTTCAACTCACCAAGCGGATACCACAGTGCACTATCTTGAGCATCTTTTCGTGCTGAATCCAGTGCGTTGCGTATTGCGATAGGAATTACATAACTCATACACAATGGCGGTTCACCAGTGGCTATAATATTTAACAGACAATCATATACATACACAGTAAACACCGACAAGCAGTTATTTTTCGATAGTTTTACGAAACATTCTACCTTTTGAACGAAGAATACTCAGTGGATTAGGAGCGTTTCGACGGAAGTAAACACGGAAATCAACAGGAATATCTTTCGCTCCGGGTGGTTTATAATTCTACAAAAGAATAGTCATAAAAATCATTCCTTAATGTGTACATACATATATTATAACTAAACTAATCCAAATACAAACCCAAGTTCTGTAATTCGTCAATTGACCAGATTTTGGATCATAAATCAAATCCTCGGATGTCCAATATCCGATTCCCATCACAAAGGCACCTTCTACTTGACCTAAATCTAATTCCGGATTCATACTTCTTCCACAATCTTCCATTAAATCTACTCTACGTAAAATATGTTGTCCGGTTAATACATCAATTTCAACTTCAGCTATAGTAACTCCATACACTGGATACGGTTTGATGTCATCTTTCGTAGTATACCTGAGAAACGGTAACATCTTATTAATACCTCTTGCTAATAACTAATTATTAAACGATGGAAAAACGTACATGTAACGCGCGCACAGATCAACGTCCTTCGTGTATGCTGTCATCACTAACTCCTGCCACGATGGATTTTTAAGTTCTTGTTTAATTGGTTCTAGTCTTTTTACTAATTCCTTGCAAGCTGCCATTGTTGCCTGAAATCGATGTATGGTTTTATCGACACTCATAAATATATATAATAAGTTTTGTTATCATCTAACGACGAATGTAACGACGAATGTAACGACGAATGTAACGACGAATGTAACGACGAATAAATCTTACGTATGAGCACACTTCGCTGGTAAGACTTCCACCAGTGACGAAATTATTTGGAGCCGTCAAATTGTTAGTCGGCTTGACAGTAACCAGTGATAAATCTATACCTAAAGTATGTGCAGCTACTTGTGCAACCTATAATTAATAAATAAAGAAGTAACGTAAAAAGAGAAATAATTCATTGTCATACGTTTATCTACGGTTTTTAGTTATACCTTTGTGTTAATCCCTTGACCGGATTCAATTCCACCGTGAGTGACAGAAACTGTACCATCTCGGGCATAGATTGAAACGAGTGCATGAAATTGGCCCCAAAAACCCATTGGATACATCATCGGTACTAATGCTATTCCTTTTTTCTTCCATCGATTTTCCTATAAAAGTTATAAAAAAAAGTTGCGTTGCATTCATCGTTTGCACGATCAAGATCTTATTTTATATCGAAAATATAACACTTCCTACATTATTAAAGGTTTCCACGGCTCTCTTTCGCATTTCATAGTCCGCGTTATTGGATAGTTCGTCTATCATCGGCTGCAACATTTTTTTGTGGTCTTCGTTCATGTTTAATAATTTAATTTCTAACGAATCTTTCCGCAGTATCTTTGCTATGTTCTCCATTATGTTCTCCACCATGCCAATAGCCTCTGTGGAACCTGAGTAAAAAAAAAAAAAGTGACGTTTCATTTTTTTAACGATATAATTGATTGAAAAATACCTGGTGCTCGACAATAAGTGTTTGAAGGTAAATCAGTTCTTGCCTCGAAAGCTTGAAAAGACCAAGTAGTAGTATCGTAACAACTGTAAATGTTCGTGTATGAATGAAAAATTATTTAAAAGAATCGTTAAAATTGTATAAATAATTGTAGCGACGTATACTAACCTTCCGATGTGGTGTATGACAACGGGACCATGCATTTCATTAAAATTGCATCCACTGTTGCCCCAATGTTTCGATTTCAAATATTGTATACGTCCATTATCGTCTACACCAACCTCATACTCCTGACGAGTATCGTACCTCTTACCGATCGCTATCATATTACTCTCTATCGACATAACGAGCCGTGTTGGTCGATTCAGTTTATAACAAGCTAATGCACAAGCACAAGCAATTTGTGTCGCGCGCGATATCTTAGAACCATATGCACCGCCTAATCTTCTTACATTTATATTTAAACTGCAACAATACATAGCGATTAAGGCGATAACATAATTGATTTTTTATCACGTTCGAGGTACCTGTTATTCTTAACGCCAAGACATTCGGCTATGGAAGTTTGACAGAGATCCACAAATTGCGTTGCTGGGATAACATCCATCCCGCCTTCAGTCGGAATACAAACGCAACTTTGGGTTTCCATGGTATAATGATACTGACTTCCACATCGAAACACTCCTTTTATTACATGCTTCGTATCCGTTCCTAGATAATATAACATTGATATTAACTAGATACTGAACGGTCGTAGAAGAGATACTGAAAAAAATGACCAAGATGGACACACCTTTCGTTTTTGCAGAAAAATACCTGGTGCTCGACAATAAGTGTTTGAAGGTAAATCAGTTCTTGCCTCGAAAGCTTGAAAAGACCAAGTAGTAGTATCGTAACAACTGTAAATGTTCGTGTATGAATGAAAAATTATTTAAAAGAATCGTTAAAATTGTATAAATAATTGTAGCGACGTATACTAACCTTCCGATGTGGTGTATGACAACGGGACCATGCATTTCATTAAAATTGCATCCACTGTTGCCCCAATGTTTCGATTTCAAATATTGTATACGTCCATTATCGTCTACACCAACCTCATACTCCTGACGAGTATCGTACCTCTTACCGATCGCTATCATATTACTCTCTATCGACATAACGAGCCGTGTTGGTCGATTCAGTTTATAACAAGCTAATGCACAAGCACAAGCAATTTGTGTCGCGCGCGATATCTTAGAACCATATGCACCGCCTAATCTTCTTACATTTATATTTAAACTGCAACAATACATAGCGATTAAGGCGATAACATAATTGATTTTTTATCACGTTCGAGGTACCTGTTATTCTTAACGCCAAGACATTCGGCTATGGAAGTTTGACAGAGATCCACAAATTGCGTTGCTGGGATAACATCCATCCCGCCTTCAGTCGGAATACAAACGCAACTTTGGGTTTCCATGGTATAATGATACTGACTTCCACATCGAAACACTCCTTTTATTACATGCTTCGTATCCGTTCCTAGATAATATAACATTGATATTAACTAGATACTGAACGGTCGTAGAAGAGATACTGAAAAAAATGACCAAGATGGACACACCTTTCGTTTTTGCATCTATATTGATTGTTTGAAGCATTCTAGATCTGTCATTAGAAGCTATAGCGTCTTCTATTTTCAATATTGCTTTTTCCGTTTGAACGTCAACATAAGAGACACGCACCTTTTGTGCCGCGTCATTCGCAATTGAATGCGTTGTCGCAACAATTATTCCAACAGGTTGTCCAGCAAATTCAATTTTTTCCTCTGCGAACAGCTAATAAATGAAACGAATAAATCTGGTACAAGTCTTGGACACTCTAATTTCTGCTATGCAACAGTCGTACGAAACTAAACTTACTACTTCGTCGTTAGGCAGCATCATCTGTTGACTAGCTGCCGAAATAAACACGTTTTTTCCAGGAATATCTTTCGCAGAATAGAACGCTATGACTCCTTTAATTTTCTGAGACGAAACGTTAAGAGATATTCAGATCAGGTTATTAAGTGATTTTAAAAAAAATGTTCCGATTACGTACCAGTGCTTCGGAAGCATCGATGGATTTTATTTTGCCATTAGGTACGGTCGTATGAACAAACGCGCAAAATACTTCGTTCGCTAAAGGCGGAATATCATTCGCGTATTGTGCTTCGCCCGATGTTTGATATATTGCCTCCATTTTCGGAAGGGGTTGATTCAGAGGCCATATATTCTTATCGGTATCGTAATCCTGCTTTGCCGAGGATAATTCACGTTCCAACAGCGATCCACCGCTGCGTATCCTTGGATCAATCTTTTCTGGTTTAATGCTCAGGATAAACTGAAATCAAGGTACACTAATATAACACTAATTAATTCTAATCGCCATAGTTTGTTTTTTTCTAGCTCATACCTTGAAGAAAAGTCCTACGGCAAGTAATTTTCTAAATTGTGGAGAATAATCGGGTAATACATGATCGGGATTAAGTTCGTTATCCAATATTTCAATGGCTTTTTTAATTGTATCTTTGTCGAAGATAGATTTACCAATTAAGTATTCTTCCGTTTTCGAAGCGTGAAGCTTAAACAATCAATCCCATTTTACTCTACACATAATTTGTTAGTTCGCATTTGTCGACGACTATTTTACTTACAAAATGTTCATTTATTCCGCCAAATATTATATTTGGTTTTTCCACGACTCTTCCAGCTCCGTCCAATTTAAAGAGGAATCCACCGTTCACGTGAGCGTGAGCATTCTGAGCACGTGGCATAATCTACGGTTTCACAAATTCTACCAATGAAAATCTAAATACGCGAGATTTAAATATTACTTTTAATCCTACGAAGATAAAACGTACCTTGTAAGATCTGTATTCATATTCACTGCCACGCGCTGGCAATACAATGCTATATATAATTTTATGTTTCATATCCATATCGAGAAAATCTAATAAATTGACGATAGTCTTTTTTCCTCCGGCCTCCACTGTTTACAAGCAAATCATTTCATTATTGTGTAATACGTATGTACCAAAGAACGTGTAATTTTCTTTCGAATTACAATGTAATAAATCATTTCACCTATGTGTAGTTGCGCGCCTGCAGTTTCAAGTATTAAAAAGAGATCCGAGGGAAACTCATGGTGTTGATATTTTATCATCAAATTTCCAGCTAAAGATCCAATCTACAATCAACCAATAATTTCCCAATACCATATTTGTCACATAGAATACATTATACGGATCAAGTTAGAATTATTTACATTTCTCACTGGAACACTAGCGATTAAATCTATATGCTTAGCTAAATGTTGCAAATATTCGAAATTTCGTTCCTTGGAATATTTTTCAAAAGTTTCCATTGCCACGGTAAGAGACAAATTACTGCCGATGGTTAGCGAATCGTTTTCTTTGCTTATTCGTCGCAAATCGGGAATATCATTAATGTCGATGGCTATATCGGTTATCTGAGTGCGATAAACACCTGCAAAATGAACAATGCGAAAGATAAATAATGAATTCTTCCTTCGCTCGTAGATGTATAATCGAAGAATCGTTATTACCGTGTGCGGTATTACCACCGTATAGAATGTAACTTGCATTCGGATTTTTTTCAAACACTGCAAATAAATCATCGACCGATAAAACTTTATGAAACTGTACACCTTCTAACTTCATATCTATTTTATCCTCGGTGTTAGAAATAAGCTGATGACAACCGTTGCAACCGTTCTCGCAAGCCAAACCTGTCCTCTTGCAGGTTTTAATTTTAAATACTTCCTACAGGACAATACTATCCTATAGTAAAAATTAGGTATACAGGTATATAGTAGAAATTGTGAAATGATCATACTTCTATATCATGAATATCTTGAACAAGATTTTTAGGGGCATCGACAGCAAACCCTTTAAACGTATCTAAAATCGGTCGATAACCCGTGCAGCGGCATATGTTACCGCCAAAGGAATTTTCTATCTCTTTCATAGTCAACTGTTTGCCCTGTAAAAGGCTAAAAGACGTATTTTAATTTTGGCTCAGGACTAAAGCAACGAAGAAAATACCCGATTAAAAATCTGTAAAATATACCTGTACATATTCATTACCATACCAGGAGAACAATAACCGCACTGGGAACCATTTTTTCCTGCTAATGCAGCTTGTAACGTATGATAACCATCTTTCCTGTTGCCTAATCCTTCGATCGTCTTAATCGACCATCTATGACCGAAGAAACTCAGTTTTTTCATGCCACGGAAGCAATATAGAGTACATATTTATTCAAAGTATTTACCCGTTACAGATTAAAACTGGCACTAGGCAAGAATTCACAGACATTGTTTTACCCTTGACTTCGACAGATACAATGCAAGCACCGCAACCTCCTTCATGACACATCGCTTTAGTACCTCGCAATTTTGCATAATCTCTGATGAAGACGTTGAGAGATGTTCGGGGGGGAACGTCTTCCGTAACTGCAAAAAAGAAAACGTACAATTTTAAGATTATTTTTTTCAATGTTTCCATTGTTATTTTAAAAGAGATATTCGATAAATTGTTAAGAATACGTACCGGTGTAAGAGACATTATTAATTGCGAATTCTACGTTACTTTTTGAATCCCTGAAACAGATATGATTCTGTCAATTCATATACTTAGTCATTTGATCGGTGTTTAAATTTCCACCATCCGAACTGTAAATCGTGTTTTTAATTATTTACTCTTGTACACCATAAAATACACAATGAAACGTAACGTAACCGATATAATTTGTCCTCGATATTCGTGCTTCTATATGTAAACGGTAAACGAACAAAAATGTTTCACACTTATAATAACAATTGACCGAAATAATATATCAGAAAGAGAGTTCTGTATTCGTTCTAGATATACACGGCCACCTGCTGTTCACGGAAAATGTTCACAGATAATATTGCTGCAATGCTGCGGTATTATAACATTTAATGAATCCAATGACGAATGCGAGCAACGAAAGCGGCGATAATACATGAAAATCACACATCTACGCAGTTGAAGACTAGGAAAACGATTTACAAATCTTACATGATGAACGGTTTAAAGCAACGGTTAGCTTGAGCGCCGTTTGACGAATGCGCGGCCCTCGTGGCTCGTTGCCAGAAAAATAATCATCGCTGCCGACTGTTTTGCGCGAGAGGTATCAGTAGCGTACTTCGTTTATTCCCGACCAATGATAAACGGCAATTACGATCATTTAAGATGCGACGTACAGTGATTGCATTTGATGTGTATATGATTGCTCGCAACAGAATAGTGATATGCCGGCTAGAATTTATAAACAGCTCTACAATTTGTATTCAAATAAACCAATTAAATCTATTTATTTCAATTTACGTTATCAGTAAGGACTTTCTGTAAATTACTATTCTTGCGAAAAACGACAGAGATAGTTGAATTGTTTTCAACGATCAGCTTTTACCATTTATACGATAAATAGACATTTTACCAAATGATTTACGATAAAAGATCTTTTACGTAACGTGTTCGTTCGGTCCGAGTTCGCCGTATATACTTTCGTATCAAATACACCGTAGGAAATAAAAATTATGGAAATCGTTTTAAAACGATTTCTGAACTGTTCATCTTTCGAATACGATTAACAAATTGTTTTTAACGCTAACAAATATTTCATTATTACGACACAATATTATTAAACTGTATTGATTTCCAACGTAAAGCCACCGCGATATCACGACATTCTACAATCGGGAAGATTAGTATTTTTTCAGCTCATTAATTTTTTCTCTATTTAATGATAAGCTGAAAATAAACAGATTACTATTCGTATTTTAAGAAACGGAAACTCGTTTCCTCGACAGAGCATCGAATGTTAATCATATAATCTGATAATATCTGACAACAGTTTTCGGTTGTAACAATCTTATTGCGAACCTCGTCGACGACATTAACGAACGTCCGAACATGCAATTTCGCGTTGAAAATGACAGATCAAATTTCTTGCTCTTTCCCACCAATTATTCTGATAATGACACGAATTATCTACCTCGCTGTACTCGTTAAAAGCATCCGTTTCTTTGTATTCTTTTCTTACAATGAAAAAATAATGACTCGTTTCATCTTCGCGTCATTACGATTACATCTTACAACGGTGGTTTTCTTTAGTTAGTTCAAATTTTTACCCCTTTCCTTAAACGGTACGAAGAAATAATCGCTCGACACGACTGTGCCATCGTACACAAGCCTTTATCAGTAGATAAGTACACTAGTTAAACATCATTTTCAACATTTTATATGACCATGACAAATTTCGATACAGTATCTAAGATATAGGAAATAATTTAAACAATTTAAAAATTTAAACATTCTTTTTAAATTACATTGCAATTTCCTGGCCGGCATGTCTTCTTGTTAGTTACAGCATTAGCTAGCGCGCACGATTCAGCTTTCACTGTTCGTGAAAGGATCGTAAATTCACTTTAGGGTAAAAAAAGAGACGTTCACTTCGGTTACATCGTTTATGCAATAATACCAATCACCAATTGCCTTTTTCGACTTTCTCCTTTATCGACGAAATTATTGTTAATAAGTCACTTAGCTCGTGAGAAAGGCACGATACGGCAAGTTAATACGATAAAGAAAAAATTAAAAAAAAAAAAAAAGAAATGAATAGAAAAAAAACTGAAAGATAAGACTACACATAGAGATTTGCTGATCCTCTGCGCCATCACTTTTTCCAATTTTGGAAACACAATTTATAACGTTCCATAATAAAATGTCCAATCATAAATTAAAATATTGAATCGTCATTATCATACATTGTGATATAATCAACGTCACAATTGTACCAAAAACTTTTTATGTTAGAAGAATTTACCGATATATAATTTTAGGAATCTTTTAAAATGACATACCCAACTTTTCTGTTTATGGATTCCATGTTGAAGAAGCAGACAGGCAGAAAAATTGAGGAATTTAAATGAAAAAGAAGATGCGTCAAACTGACAATTCCGGCAAGTAATCGTATGCAACAGAAACGTAGCGTAGGCAGCAGTTGGTTTGACTGAAACGACTACAATTCATTTCGGTGACTCGCGGTAGCAGTCGTCTTTGCGATCCTGCATAGCGACCTCCCACCACCTGCAACAAGGATAGTCGTACATGTGTATAAACAGAAGACACTTCGTGTACTCTTATTGCACGATACCTGCTTTTATTGTTACGTTCTCCCGTATTATCGACCTCTTCTATGTCTTTTCTCTTTAACAGTTCGTCAACCATTATATAACATTTTTTCAAATCGATTTTTCCGAATCTCCAGAAATAGTTATCGAGCATTTTTTTTTTCAAAATACAACAATACTTTTCGTTAAAGAACTAAACTATCGAAAAATATTATCCTCCTATAGGAAGTATAAAGTAATGCGATTATTCGAATACGAAAAAATATTTCTGTCCTAAAGACAGAAATTTACACGAAAAGAAAATGGCTTAAAGAAAATTCGAATTTTCAAGTTAATTCAAGTATATTTATACGATAAGGTTTTTCGATTTAATCTAGTTTCGATAATCTTCATTGACGTAACTAGAAATGTTATCCTTTCATTTTATTAATAGTATCTATTAACGTATCATCATCTTAAACTAAAATAAAAATTTGTAAATTTCTTCCGGTCCACCGGCAATTCGTTAGTTCAGGTCCAACCATGTCTATTGCCTAGTTACGACAATGGTTATCGTTAATTAATCGAACCGTGAATAGGAATGTATCCTTATCAGAAAAAGAACGGATAAGCATGGTGGCAGACGTACGGACACGTCGGTTAATTTCAATAAATACTCTATTAAACGCCATTCATGTGTTACACAATAATCATTACAACATATTCGTAGCGTATAATGATATCAATGACAATTAATACAAAGTAATTGTAAATAATAGCGTCTCAACTAATGTTTTACCGGTGTACGCATCTTCCGTCGAGAAAATTTTCGTACACGCGTGAAACAGAAAATGAGACAAATATGGCATTACTAGGATTCGTTATCGATAATCAGAAAAAATAACATTTCCTCCATCTTTAGAGACTCTTTAGTCGAATCTCCAGCAATCTTTCGTTACTTCCTCGTTAAACAAAATATTTCTGGCTAAACGCTAGCGCAATTTTACAGGTTGTTCCAGGGCGACGCTCGTAACGCATTCAGTGCCTCTAATTACCTCTTTTTCTTCGCTTTGTATTAATATTAACTACCAGATCGACCAGCAGCTACAATTTTTATCGAAAACAATTGTTATGTACAATTTTGTTTAATCAAATGCATCGTATTTACATCGACATTGAACGGATCTTTCGTGTTCGCGTTAACTCTGTACACTATAAAAGCAATGACGACAGGTCAGTCAAATAAACAACGAGTTAAATATTTTTAAAAGTCATTTTCTATTTAAAAATTTCTTTCGCGTTGTTCCGTTTCGACTGACTGTGATTATAGGACCGAAAAATACACCATTTACAACGATTAATTAATTATTCGAGTCAGCCAAACCGAAATGAAACGTTTAAACATAAAATGGCTCAATTTCGATCAACTATAGCCTTCGATTCGCCCAATATTACAACGAATTACTAAAGTAAGTTGCTTCGCGGCACTGAATGGTTAGTCGGCGAAAGATTTAATATAGCGTTCCTTTCTTTTTTTTCTTTATCTCTAATATATCGTGCTATCTTTCTCTAGTCGACAAGGGAGAGTTACATAGATTGCTACTGCTCTACAATTTTCGATAAAATATGTGAATATGTATGTGTATATATTGTCCTGTTACACTCGATCACCAGTAAGTTTACACGAACAAATTGTGTGTAGCATTCGACAAGATCCATAATCGTTCAAGCAACCCTTTCAGAACATAACAATTGTGATGCGATAAAATGACACCGTTCACGAATTTGAACAGAATTACAATTTCGAGATACGACATCACATTGCTATTCTTTTCTTCTCTTGAGACATAACCTTGGGCGAGTCTGAATTAATAAGATTCTATCGTTATCCATGTATCATTTGTGCGAAGCGTGATCTCATTAATTCCAACTTTATTAATTAGCGTTGAATCGAATAGTCTTTTCGGTGTACGGTATTTACAGAAATAGATATTTTAGACATTTCTTTATTGATCGTTGATATTTTACGTATACGCTGAGGTTCAAAAGCTTCCGTCAAGCTATAAATTATTATTTATCGAGACGCGCGTCTACTTTTAAGACAGAGCGAAGAGCGTAACTGGCAGGAAGCTTTTGTATCTTGTTGTATATCATCCACGAAACTTTATTTGTCCAGCACCTTTACAGAAAATAGTAGCTTAATTAATTCAGCTTTAAATTCATCCTTACGTAGTTTGAAATCTGTTTCCACCTCGAGTATTCTGGCCAACGACGTTTTACCGTATCGAACTTCCACGCACTGTTTTTCGAACAATTCAACAGAAACACTTTCTTAAACTTAATGGTGACCAGTTCCTCGCGTGATTCATAGATGTTAATTGAACATGTTATTTATGATCTAGTTTTCTATAGCCGTTGTTCTCGTCAACTTCTATGATCGCATTATACAAGGACACGCAATGGTAAATCAGTTACGAACTCGTACCAGGGGTGCACGAATATCTTAAAGAATAACGTCTGAAAAATGGAGAATATTTGAAATTTGTAAGTTAATATCTAACGAAGAGATTAGGCTTAAAGAATTGTAGACTGTTACCGTTGCTAACTAGTTTACGGAAAGTTTGTCGCGCGACAATTTGTACCTTTTCCAATATGTTTTTTCATGGTCCGATGGGGAAAGAAATTTGCACACCCCTGATTCTTCGGACAGTCCAACACACCAAACAATCTTTTATACTTTCTTTTATCTTCGATTCCGTTCGAATTTCCTTCCCGCGCGTACATGTAACCAGCACAAATTCTATTCGTCCTCGTACCGAGAATTATCTGGCAGTATCGAAAGAAAAACTTGACGTCGATTTCCGATATTACTGTCACTCGACAAATCAATTTTTTAACAGACTCAATGGTCCAATAACAACGTTTTCTTTTAAATGGAATGTTTTCTTTAAACTTTGCAAAGATTTATCAAAATTCTGCATTACCTAAAACATTACTGGAAATAATTTGAAAAAGATACTCGTAACGAGAAAATACGAAAACGATGAAGAAATAACTGGCAACTACGAGCAATTGCGATTCATCAACATTCCTCGTTTCTATTTCGTTCTCCTATTTCAGTTTCTCTGGCGTTTACGTACACGAAATCCTTTCTTTCACTTCGGATACACTGCCCAAATCAATCGTAAGAAATTGTGATCAGACATGGTTTCGTCGAGAGAAAAATAAAATATTCTGGTACATTTTATTTGTCCACCTAAGATTCCGTGCAGCCTCTCGATTGGCAAACTCTAGACGGAAATAAAGATACATGTTCCTCGTAATTCTATAGCGCAGATTCGTGGAGGTAGCTGCACACGCCGAGGGACAAAACGAATCCCGAATTAGACCTTATAACAGTCATTATTGACTATATTAATAGTACCATACTGAATCGTAGACTCACATATTACATTCATAATTAATCGTATGAGTATCATAACCTTAATTTGTGTACATAGTTCGTTTAATTACCTAATTAAGACAGTTCGGAACGGTATACGGATAAAGAACATTAGCTGGGCCACCTAACAATTCACTCTGCACATTCACTCCACTGTTTCGCTCACTCGCTTTCACTCTCTCTCTCTCCCTCTCTCTTTATATATATATACATTTTTTTTTAGATGTATATATATATACATATATATATATATATATATATATAATTATTATTCAGTATTTAATACTTTAAGAACGGATACATCATAACTGCTTCAGCGCCCTGAGTCGAAATGAAGATAGTACGAAAAATGAAACGAAGAGCGACAAGGGTGCGCCATCATATTTAGTATTTCGCCATGTACATATACATTTATATATATATATATATACATATATATATTTATATATAATATATACGTATATACATATATTTAGGTATTTTTAAATCTTTAACGTTGTCTTCTTCGTGCGGATTTGGGTACAATACACGTATACACATATACAAATGACGCGTACGTACACGTGCATACGTGATATTCAATATGTATTACATTACTATGGATACATCATGCATCAGCCAACTATATATAATTTTTTTGACGTATGTACGTTTAGAATCATGACGAAACCGATTGACGTGTTCTCTCAGCACAGAGAGACGATACTTCTTCACTCGATGCATCTTCCAGAATAAAGCTTTTGTGGAACTATATGAAACTCTCTACTTCTGCTACGTAACGACTCTTCACTGACGCATACGAACACATGCACACGTGCGCGCACATACAATTTCAATTTCTGTCATATTTAGCCAGTATATTCTTCGGGCGAGAATTACTGGAAAACGCTACAGTGTCAATGCAGTACTATCACAGTCAACTCTTACGGAATAGTTGCATCCACGCGTTCATGGAATTCTAAACGCAATACGGCTCATCTGTGTAACTTGTCTATAAACTCTCTATTTATAGTCGCTTCGTAGAACTGTATACACTGAGACTACACGCGTATCTCGGTAAGGCAACCGCCGTAAACTGAGAAAACCCGTATATGCGATTATATTCGATCATATTTGATCATATTCGATCATATTCGATCATATTCGATCAGCGGTAGAAATATGTTTACGAGAATTCGTCGACGCCGTCGATCCAGGTAGATTACTTTCTTTTCGACGAATCTCCGGGGACGGGTCATGGCGGATGACGCTGAATAACGAGAATAAGCGGGGCACATTTTCTAGGCATATTACACGATATTTACAGAATTGGTGCTTCGTCCGCTCGATTCCAATCCGAATTCCTAAAAAAAACAAAAAACTTATTTTTAACCAGAGCCATCTTCGCTGATCAACGTGCAGTGCATTCTTTTAAAGCGTTTCTTCTCGTTTCGAACAGCGAATCGAACGGTTTCTCACGTTTCGATACCTTGCATGATCAAATAGAAACTTATATTCCAAGTGCAGGTAAACGAGGTTCGTTAGAAATCGGTGCTGTTAGCGAGAAAGCCTATTTAGAGGTTACGAACTGAATTTTGTAGGAAACAGTGCGTTGTTAGAAGATACGTATTTTGCATAGAAGAAAACTCTGGCCGATGGACACGGTACCTTTATCGAAAGTTGTCTCGTTTCGATAGTATTCGTCCCTCTTCGACGAATACTTATCCGTAAAGAAAAACTGTTTAGATAGAACGAGATTATTAAAAAAGAATCCGAAACAATCGACGAACCAATCCATAAGAGCATGCAGTGTTCCATATTAATCACGAGAATACACGAATATCGTTAATTACAATATGTTAAAATATACGCTGTATCGTTTGGTTATCTTTAAATCAAGTTTCCGCGCAAGATCATCTTTGACTGTGCAGTTTCTTCTTTCTTTAATTATCTTCGCAACTGAAAGAGAGCATAACTTGAACGACTGTGCATTAGTATCTTTTCACTCGCAAACTGTTTTCTCAAAGAGCGGCAACTCGTAAAAACCATAGAACAGTGGCGAAACCGAATATATCCGATGCAACTTTTATTCTTTTTATAGTCGAACGAGTCCGTAGAGTTTCGTCACTGATCGTTTGTTCGATGCGAAGGATAAGCAAATAGATACCTAATCTCTTCACAGAGCACCAAAAGGATCAAGTTGGACTTGATTGTTTTGCGGCTGCGTAGCAGCTTGAGGTTGTTGATGCTGTTGAGGTTGCTGTTGTTGCTGTAGATTAGCTCCCATCATGGGATTCGCGTTAGGCATCATCACTGGCGCAGCTCCTCCTGCAACCATCATGCCACCAGGACCACCAGCCATTGTACTCATCATCGGCCTCATGCCCTGCATGCCTTGCATTCCCATCGGAACACCTTGCATTCCCTAGGGACACCAGAAACCCGTCCAATCAGATCCAGCCTGTACTCGTAGAACGTACACCATTTCGAGTCCAACTGTTTCCAACTTTTCTTCCTCGACGTTATTTCGTTCCCGACAAACGATCGTTCGGAATTTTTCGGAATTTTGCTCGCTCAATTTTTCTCTACTCTGTGCCCGTTGTATCGTACACCGCAATTCCGTCTAATACCAAATGCTTGCAAATCGATACCGGATATACATACATACGTATAAAGGAAAGCGTCGCGACCAATATATTTACAAGCGGTTCTATCGTAGAAAGAGAACCGCTATAACCCGAAGTCCATTCAACGAAACAGACATTTATCAAGAGTTTGTATCGGAAAACATACAAACAGTTTCTAATAGACAACTAGAAGGACTACTATGTGTTAAATACACGTGTGCATCACATATAGAGATTATATGCAAAAGCAGGAAACAAAGATATGCCATGACAATAGAAATAATACTGTTATTTGTCACTAACCGAATTGGCAGTCGGTTAGCTAGCGAATTCGAACCGAATAGAAATTTGTCGAATTTATTATTTGGTTAGAACACTCGAACAACGTTCCGTTCTCGTTTATTGCCAAAAACAAGTTAGTAACAATACTCGTTATACGCACACCGAGATACGAAATCGAACCTTCGATTATGCAACAGGTTCGTTTCGCTCGTAAATTGTCTTTGTACAAAATGTAACTTACCAATGGTGCGGTGTGGGGAGGGAAGCCCAAGGTAGACGGAGGAAGTTGCGTCATTCCTTGACCCTGCAACAGCCGGTAGCATGCCAGACGCCATGCATGCGTTGTACAACTAAGTGTACGAGGATCTTTCGTGTATACCCTACAGTATTCGTTTATCCTAATGTACCGTCTATTCGAATCCGTCTAGTCGAAACTTTACATGTTATTTCATAATTTCCTCTATTCGAAGGGACATTCCGGCGAAAAATTTCATACATAATGCAACGATTGTGCAACGTCATTACGGAGCCGAGTGCATCCAAGTATTAGAAGGAGTGAAAATGTAAGTTATATCGTTGTAACGTGTAAGCTTAATGGGCAATGAAGCAAGCGTGCCGATGCTACGACTAAACTCTAGCCACAAAAGTATATAACTCTAGACCCGTCAACTTGCTCGTTTGCCTCCTATAAGTCGTTTACGTTCGTTTCGAGCGAAACAATTTTTCTTTACCGCGATTACGGAAAGGACGATAACTATTCGTAGCGGAGGGTGGTACTGTCAAATTAGGAGTAACATGCTTTAATCGTTGCGTTGCGTTGCGTTGCGTGATCAGGGTAGATAAAGTACCGACACGTATCAGAGGTAAATAATAACGATGATAAACACTATACGCTAGAGGTAATATCTTATTACTGTAAGAGATAGTGCGATAACGATCAAAACCAACGTGCTAATAACAGTTCAGTGCCGAAAGAAATGATCGGCTTAACGATCCGAACTCACCATTGGGCGGTAACCAGCACCGGTTGTTGCCGCCATCGGTTGCGGTGTCCATCCACCGGCTGGGCCTCTGGTTTTCGCAGCGTTTTTAGGCGAATTCCACTGTATACCCCTACAAACATTATTATACACAGTTATTTCGGTATGTTGATGGCGCGCAATCACCTGGAACGTTGTCAAAATTCTCACTTACTTCACCTGCTGCTGCGCACTTTTATTGATAGTCAAATTCTGGGCAAGGCTAGCAAGGCTGCTATCTAAATCTCCGGTCAAAACTTTCCCCGTGGATGCTGCATTCTGCTGTTGCCCTGCTGTAGAAATATTATTATCTCCAGCTACGCTGACAGGTAACAGGATCGTGCCCAAACCGTCAAAACCTAAGCAACGTCTACATCAGCCAAAGCCCCCAAATGACGAAACCCAAATCCGAATACGCGCTTTTTCTTTATACGTAATATATCATACATACGCGAAGAATAAAACTCCGAGACTCGATAAAAGCATGGATTTTAACTAAAATTCATTCTAGTCCTAATACTATTTCTCGCTGAGAACGAGCAAAATTGCATCGACGACAACAGTCGCGTCGATCGAAGCAAAATTAAAAATACATATTAACTGCGTACACTACGATCGTCTACGAGGCAAGAAATTTTCATAAGAAAAAGCCATGCTTTTGAACATAGCGAGTGTACAAAAGTGTAGATACGTGTATAATAAATTATAGTTGTTAACGCAATTTGCATTACTATGAGAATTCCTCTTTAACGAGTTACGTATACATAGCAATGATAACCGATGGAACTAAACGAGTTGAAATTCGTTTGAATAGCAACAGACATACATGCAAGCACGCCAACTTTATTAACCATACCCAATCCCCTACCTACATTCGATAGTAATTTACGTTACGAACAGAAAATAAACGCGAATCACTGATGCTGTACAATCGTGAGCACATACTTTAGTGGCAATTTCTATTTTACTTCCTTCCGCGCTTCTTCCACGCACGTGAATCGAAAGCTTTCGATCATCGTTACCGGCAAAGCTTATTTCGCCTCGCTACGACTAACAAATTTTTACTGCCACATTCTTTTTCGATAAATATTAGAAACGAGCAACGTACACGATCGTACGTAGAATCGTGCGCAATTAACGTACGGTAAGTTCTCGTTGTGGCGCAGTCTCGCTGTACCGCCGCTATATAACGCTTTGCGATTCCAAAAAAATCGAATCGTACAGCGAGATTACGCGTCGCTCCAGTTATCGCTACATCGTCTCGCTAAAGGCTGTAGAGAAGGTCGTGCAAAGGCAGTTTGCGGCCACGAGAGTATGTAGCCCATCAGTTTCGGCGGAAGCATCACTGATTCCCCTGGCATGCAAACAGCAGAATCATCTATACATTCCCGTCACCTGAAATCGGTTGCTTTGCCGGGGAACCGTACCCTGCCGGGACTTGAGTAGGTATACCGTAGCCGGCCATTGGGCCACCAGGCATAACAGGCTGCCCGGTGGCAGGCATATTGGCGGCCATATCGAACATGCCGAAACCCTGTTGCAGAGGTTGCTGCTGTGCTTGTTGCGCGGTCGGGAGTTGTTGAGCGACGGGTGCCGGTCGAGACGGAGACCCGCCCAGTGCCATACGAATGCTATCGTTTAAATCATCGAAAGCGCTTTTGCCGGGAGCGGCGG